TATAATCAATAAATATTAAAAGTCACAAGACATTTTAGCTTTATAAAAGCTCAGCTCTTAACAGGATCTCCTAAGTTTGCTTGTACTAAAACAGTTTTATTCACTGCAACCTTGTGCAAACCAGAATTGATTTTAAATTTCTCCTGCTAACCTATAAGTGCATAAATGTCCTTGCACCCCCTTATCTGTGTGAGCTACTGGAACCATGTGTTCCCTCTCGGGCACTGAGATCATCTGACCAGCTGCTTTTGGCTGTTCCTAAAACAAAACTGAAGCTCGGAAAAGATCGGGCTTTTTCAGTCATGAGCCCCAAATTTTGGAATAGTCTTCCTCTCAACGTTAGATAGGCCACTTCCTGTTTTTAAATCTCTTCTAAAAACTAATTTGTTTTCTCTGGCATTTCACACATTGTGATTTATTTATTTTATTTTTTTGGTTGCGTTTTGTGTTATATGATGCTTTTAATACATTTTCAGTACTATCATTTTAATTTCCAATAAATTACTCTCATTGTTTTTTTGTTAAGCACTTTGGTAACAGCTTCTGTTTTAAATGTGCTTTATAAATAAGAGTTGATTTGACTTTAAACTGTCACCCCTAGTGGCCACAACAGCCCCCTCCAACAAGCTTAAAGTGGCCCATGAGCCACCAGTTGATAATCACAGTTGTAGCAGGTTGTTGTGGCTTTGAACACTTTTAATTTAGTTAACGAAGGTGTAAAAATGGCTCTTTTGATCATAAAGGTTGCAGACCTCTGATCTAGATCATCAGACCTAATTATTTCTGTTTAAAAATCACAAGCTGCAGGGTTTTAAAGATAACCATATTTGTCTGCTGATTGATTTCCACTTCTTGTGTCATGTTTTATCATCAGACTTGACAAATGCAGAATTATCTTGAAAACTACTAAACAGTTACAAAAAAAACGTAGAAAAACATTGTTCACATAACATGCACACATGTTCATAGTTTAAAAGTTACACACAATGAAAAAATAAGTATACACTCCATTTTTTTAAATACTCAACTTCTTTAATTTCAGCTATCAGATTCACATTTAACTGCAAAATACTTTGGTAAACAGAAGAGTTTATGACCAAATCAATGACTACAAAGTCCTGTAGCTGTCAAACTAATCCAAATCATTACCGTTCCATCACTGTGCTTCAGCGAGCATGAGGCGTACATGCTGATTTGCCGTTTTTGCAAAAGTCGTCCAAACATTTTGACCTTGTTTCATTTGTCAAAGGGCGCTGCTTGTAAAAACTTGTGACTTATTCTTTTCAACACAACTATTCAAAAGTTGTTCGGCCATGTTCATTTTAGAAAGCAGTTTTTTCTGGTGGCTATTCTGTTAACTTAAAATGTTTAAAGTGAATTTAATTGTTCAGGTTTTTTTCAGGTTGTTGTACCTTACCTCCTGTAATCAAAGGTCAAAGTGTGCTCTGTCTGGAGAATCGAAGGATTTGTGATGAGGAAACCAAACTAACTTGTTCAGTATGAAACTACGAGAAATTCTAAAACTCAAACCTCCATTTTTTTCAGAGCTGCTCAAAGGACCCAGCTTTAAGGACATTTACACATCACATTAAAACAATCGACTATTTCCTTTGACTTACTAACTAGGACCTGAAAAATCTGAGACACCTTTCTTCAGACATCAGCATTTTTATTCCCCAACACCTTGAGTTCAAACTGGGGTGAACTTGCTGGGACATTCACGCCTTTAAAGACAAACTACTTCCTAATACTTCTGAAAAGATGTTCCTGCTGTAAAAGTATGTCAAATGGACATCTTGTGAGTCTTCCCCGATTGAAGAGCAGCAACAATAATAGCTGGTCTTTTCTCTTTAATATTGTGTTGCAGAGCTGCACAACTCTGCTTTTATAAAGGAGCAAACATGCTGATGATCAGTTAATCAATGCATTTGATTAGCAGTGCAGCTCTCAACATCGATGGAAGCAGTGAAGGCCCTTAAGTGTTAAAGGTCGCATGTTGTTCATGCGAGTTCATATTTATCTGATTTCTAACCTGATAAGCACCAGGTGGTTTGCATTGTGTTCCTTCCTTTTTCTATGACTGCATATTAAAAACAAAACCGTTCATGAACATCATATGGGGTTTGAAAACCATTTGTATTAAAACTCTTACTCAAGGTCCTGGAGCTTCCTCTGGAGTTCCTTAGCGAATGCTCGTCTGTTCCCAGCTTTCAGACACTCGGAAGCCTGCGAGAAGCGAAGGGAAAGCTCCTGAAACTGAAGCATGATTTTCCTCTCATCTGCTGCGACGTACGCCATGCAGAAAGGTCGCACGAAGCCTCTCGCCTCCAGGTCGTAAAGAGTGAAGTGATGCACATAAGCAAACGCCCCCTCCTTAGAGTCTCCCAGTACGACCCTGGAGTCCTCCACAAAACTGAGCCTTGGGTAGCCACTTCCGGGTGGATGCCCCACAAAGGAGGCCTGGTAGTCCACCGACATGATGCGCAGAGAGAAGTAGTTAAGGTCAAAGGTGCCGCAGATTTTGGGATCATCTGGGATGGTGAGGAGAGGCTGGGGGCCCACCTGCTCAGAGAACTCAGAGATGAGAATGAAGTCTTTGGTGAACTTGGCATAGGAGGTTTTGGCCCATGGATTGGAGTAAGCCAGGGGGTGCAAGGGAACAGAGAACTCCTCTGGGAGATCCCAGGGTTCTGGGTTGGTCTGCCCATATTCATCCTCTCTGGTGAAAGCTACCACATCCGGAGAGCCTATCATCGTGTTATGGCCAAGAGAGGCATGAGAAACAGCAGCAGCACTTTTAGTCATAGAAATGCTGTCGGAACACAACAGACAGCGGTACACTTAGCCACATAAAGTCCGATCAGACTGGGCATACTGGTACCGGAGGTGTTGATCAAGGGACCGAACTGGTCCAACAACCAAGTCCTTTCGTATGGCAGTAAAATAAGCACCTAATCCAGCTGTGGCCCTGCAGTGGTATGTCAATGAGGAGGAAAAGGAGGAGGGATAGGTAACTGAACTAACAATGCAGCTCCCAGCCTTTGTTAAGAAGAGCAAAAATGAAGCGACAATTATGAATTACAGCGTCCGAGCAGGCAGCAGACCGTCACGAGAAGAAGGACGTCCGACCTCCTCTTCTTCATGTCTCCAAGCGTCGAGTCCGTCACGTTACTGAAGTCTGGACTGAAGCCCGGCGAGTGGGCAAAACACAAACATCGTTTAAAGACAGAGACGCTTCAAAGACTGCTCACATCCAGAGACAGACGCCATGTTTACTCAGCTGGACGCTGCTGGTCACGTGACATAAGCCCCGCCCACCCAGAGGAAATTCACTTTGTAACAGGAACCTTCTCAATCAAAGAGAAAACATAAAATAAAATACCTCGGTTAGTTAACTAGGCGTATTATATGGGTACACAGTATGCATACATATGCCAAAATTTCACTTATTGAGGAATTCTTTTTTTTTTTTTACCTGATTGCAATATTTTTACACACTGAACATTCAACAGCAACAAAATAAACATTTCAACATTTTACATAGAAAAACAAGTTATTTGTTGTTGACTTTTTTATTATCTGGTTATTAGACGAGTCTTTAAACCTTAGTGCCTATATTTATTTAAACTCATCAAATATTAGCAAAGTGGGTCCTGGACTTTTTTAACAAACAGCCGCAATCTGAGAATCCACAACTTCTCCTCCACCATAACCCTCAGCACTGGCTCCCCCCAGGGTTGTGTGTTGAACCCCCTCCTGTTCACTCTGCTCATGTATGACTGCACACCTACCCATCCAGGCTGTCATATTGTAAAGTTTGCAGATGATACAGCGGTGGTTGGATGCATCACAGACAATGATGAGTCCAGCTACAGGCAAGAGGTAGAACACCTGGAGAGCTGGTGCAAAGAGAATAACCTTCACATCACTGTGAAGAAGATGAAGGAGATGGTTGTGGACTTAAGATGGAACAAACACACCTACCCCCTGAACAGCTACAAGTACTGTGCACCTGAATGACAACCTCAGCTGGGGCAACAACACCACCAGCCTGATCATGAAAGTTCATCAGAGACTCTACTTCCTCAGGCGGCTGAGGCGAGCTGGTCTGGGAAGCTCAGTCCTCACCTCCTTCTACAGGTGTGCAGTGGAGAGCATCCTGCTTCAGCATCAACGTGTGGCATGGAGGCTGCACAGCTGCAGAAAGAAAAGCTTTGCAGAGAGTGGTGAAGGCTGCACAGAAGACTTGGAGTCAGCTTCCCCACCATCACAGACATCTACACCTCCAGATGCAGGAAGAGGACCACCTGCATCATGAAGGACCCCACTCACCCTGCACACACACTTTTTGTCCCGGCCCCCTCAAGCAGGAGGTTGAGGAGCATTAAGTGTAGAACCACTAGACTGAGGGACAGCTTCTACCCTGAGGCTGTTAGACTCATGAATCTCTAACCAGAATAATCACTGTGAAAAAAAGAAAAGAAAATCACTGTAATGCCATTTGATTGTTGATATGTGCTGCTGACTATCCATGTTGATGATCTTGTGCTACTGATTTATTTCACACTGCTGTATTCATTCGTGCTCACCTGCTCACACAGACTCAGGTTCGTGCTGCTGTTGTTCAGCGTATTGTTTTTTGTACTATTAGTGTTTTGTGTGTTCTTAGTTTTAGCATATTTCTCAGATCTTATTACTGTTTTTCTTTTACAATTTATACTTTTGTTGGATGTAACTGGGACCCTGTGTACACAATTTCGTTCACATGTACCACATGTAAATGTTCACATGTATTCACATGTTTTTAGTTTTCTACATTTGTCTTGGAATCTAGCTGTTTTTTGTTTTGTTACCTTTTCCTTTTAGCCATCCTATTTGTTAAAAAAAAAACAAAAAAACTGTAGTATGCTTTTTTATAACTGTTTATTGTTGTTGCTGTTGTCCATTGTTGTCATCTTTCTTTGTTGAAATCAGGTCTCTCTTGTAAATGAGTCCTCGAGGCTCAATGGGATTTACCTGTATAAATAAAGGTTGATTGGTAAATGACAAGAACCTTGCTTGACTTGACATTACTAGTTCTACGAAAAAAAAAGTTAAATCTTGTTATCTGGACTCTATTTCCATAGCAAAAATAAAATAAATAAATAAATAATAATAAATAACTAAAACAAAGATTCAATTAAAAAAAGGCAGATTTGTCACAATTCTCAAGCATGCCTCTCAAGCCAAACGAATGGCCCATGGGTACAACAGAAACTAAATTATTAAAATAAAAAACTGTAAGTTGAAGAACATATTTGTTGTTTCCAAACATTAAATTGTTGTAGAAGTTTATCTGAGGAACAAAGCACTGAAATGTTTGTGTGTTTGTTTTTTAAACCCAAAGTACATTTTAATAACCTTGTGAGCTGCCCATGCTTGATTAGAATCATCACAGCATTTCCTCAATAAAAGAAGTACAAAGAGAAATTGGTAGATCATTACAAAATAACTTCTACTTTATTTCCCCTGTCCAGTTCATGCAATATTTTGCCACTTTTATGTTTTAATTAAAATACAGTAATCATAATATAACATTTAGTACATTTGTACATAATAATAATAATAAGAAAACTTGAATTAATTATTTAGTAAGATTTTGCCAGCGCCAGAGCTTTGCGACAGTTTTACGTCTTTCTTTACGGCAGTTTTCCACTAGCACGCGCGGATTTTGTAAATAAGGCTAATCGTCACAACTTGATGAGGTACCAGTAGATATTTTTTTATTCATGAAAGTAGTTCGAGTTTATTTTATTCAACATTTTATTTATCGACCGAAAAGTTATTCAACAGTTGACAACGTTAGCGTCCTCCAACAACTTTTCTTAAGAGTAATGGCTTTAGTTAGCCCCGTCAGCTAACATGCTAACAGCTGGGCAGATTTCGGGAGGAGAGGACGCGTCGCGTGACACCCGCCCGGTATGCTGATTCTGCACCTCCTCGGAAGATCCTCGCTTCGGTCGGGTCTGACGCGGCTTCAGCAGAGGTCCTTCTGGGGGACCCGGAGCGGCCGGTGCCCGGAGACACCGTGGTGGTCAGACATGATCCGGAGCCGGACTCAAATCAAGCGGGTCCTCTGTGTGGCTGAGAAGAACGATGCAGCCAAAGGGATCTCAGAGATCATGTCCAGCGGCAGAGCCAGGAGGGTTAGTCTCCTCTTCTTGCACACCCCAGATACATAATGGTTCTGCTTGCACTACCAGTCCTTGATCAGAAAACATTTCAGCAACACATAAACCTAGTAAGGTCAAAATGTGTCCAAAACTCAACAATAACAACCTATAAGCATCATTGTCTGGTATGATTAGGATCATGACAATAACGATGCAGTTATCACAAACAAGACAAATTTATTTCTAAAGCACATTTAAAAACAACAGTTGTTACCAAAAGTGCTCAACAATAATAATAATAAAAAAAATACTATGGCGTTAATTTAAAGGGAAAACCCCCAAAATGAATTCAAAGCATCAAAAGAAAAACACAAAACGATAAAATACTAAATCAAATGACATTGTGCTAAAAGTTAGTGAAAAGAGATGTGTTTTTAAAAGAGATTTAAAAACAAGAAGTGAAGTTGCCTGTCTAATGTTGAGGGGCAGATTGTTCCAAAGTTTAGGAGCTGCGACTGAAAAAGCCTGATCTCCTCGGAGCTTCAGCCTGGTTTTTTTTGGTACAACCAAAAGCAGCTGATCAGATGATCTCAGCGCCCAAGACGGGACATATGTTTGAAATAGCTCACAGAAATAAGAGGGTGTAAGGTCATTTGGGCACTTTAAGGTCAACAGGAGAATTTATTACATACAGGGATCCAGTGAAGGGAGGATAAAACTGGTGAAATATGATCAAACCTTTGAGTTCCTGTTAAGAGCCGAGCTGAAATATTTTGGATGAGCAGGAGACGTGAAAGGGAGACCTGACTGACCCCAACATAAAGCACATTACAATACCATACCACTTTATTTATCGAGCACTTAACAACAGCAACAAGGTCAACCAAACTGCTGTACTTCAAAATCAAACAAGCAGTGAACACAGGATAAAATGCATAGATCAAAATAGATAAAGATAATAACTAAATGGCTAACATTATAGAATACAGACAAGTTAAAATCAACTCACTCAGTGTCAAAAACCAGGGAATAAAAGTGAGTTTTTAATTGAGACTTAAAAACAGTGAGAGATGGAGCCTGCCTGACATGCAGTGATAACTCATTCCACAGTTTTGGACCTGCAACAGAGAAGGTTCTGTCACCCCTGAGCTTAAAACGGGTTCCTGGAACCAATAGAAGCATCTGGTCTGACCTCAGGGAGCGCTGTGGGACATGGCTGCAGCAGATCAGCAAGATAAGAGGAGCCAGACCGGTTCAGAGATTTAAAAACACAGAAGGATTTTAAAATTAATTTGAAAGTGAACCGGGAGCCAGTGAAGAGAGGCCAGAACTAGAGTAACGTGCTCTCTTTCGCCTGTACCTGTTAAAAATTGGGTTGCAGCATTTGAACCAGTTGTAAAAATGCAATGGAGGTCTGACTGATTCCAAAAAGAAGCACATTGCAGTAATCGAGCCTGGATGTTAAAGCATATTACTGTCCCAGGATTACATTTGGACAATATGGGCTTCAATGTAGACAGTCGCCTCAACTGAAAAATAAAACAAAACAGGATTTAACAATCATGTTTATATGAGTACCTGTATTTAGTTTCATGTAAGGATCCATTTTCTCTCCCAGATTAATGACTACGGGTACTTGTTTCTCTTGCGGGGCTAGAGAGGAAAGGTCAATACAGTGGTTCTTGATCATGCCATTAGGTGGAAACAACATGACTACAATAATCAAATAAATTGTTAATTACTGAATTATTAATCAAACAGTCAAATTAAACGCATCTTCTCTGACAACGAAGTCTTGAACTTGCAATATAGTCGACATTATGACACATTTACATAGCCTGAATCAAAATAAAAGTAGGTTTAGGTTCCTGTTTAAAAAGTCAAAACAATAACCACAAAACTGTGAAGAGGAAAAAACAGAACGGTGCTGTTGTCTTTGGTATTGAGTAATCTCTTCCTCCAGTGTATTTACAAATCTTTGATGTAGATCTCACTGTCGTCTTTTTTCAGAGGGAAGGAATGTCAAAGTTTAATAAAATTTATGAGTTTGAGTATCATCTCTTTGGCCAGGTAAGCCAATACAGTGAAAAAGAATAAATCTGCACCGGAAAGATAGTCTGTTTTTCTGTTTGTCTACAATCATTGTCTCTGATTTTTGTTTCTATCAGAATGTGACAGTAACAACGACATCAGTGTCAGGACATTTACTTGCTTTGGAGTTTAAGGCACCTTTCCAGAAATGGTAAGTTTAAACAAGCGTGTCTTTCCTTTTGAGTGTAACCATCTTGACACAGTATTGGATCAGTTTGTATTTTTTTGGTCACCACAGGCACAGCTGCAATCCTGTGTTGCTGTTTGACATAGAGGTTGAGAAGTATTGTCCAGATAATATGATACAAATCAAGGTATGCCTACTTGTCTCGCTATGAATTTATAAAAAGATAAAACACATATTTTTGAGCTTTATGTATTTTGAAAATTAGGTTATTCTCTGGCTACTCTGAACAATTAGGGGTTTTGATGATACAATTTAGACTTTTTTTTGGATGTTCCAGTATTACGACAGCCTAATTATGTTCATCAGCAATTCTTTTCTTTCTTGTTTTTGTTCCTCTCATTTTCTTCATCTGTTTTCTTTCTGTAGCGAACTCTGGAGAAGGAAGTGAGGCAATGTCAGGCCCTGATCATCTGGACTGATTGTGACAGGGAGGGGGAAAACATTGGCTTTGAGATTATCGATGTTTGCAGAGCAGGTATTGTAGGAAAGCACGTAAAAATTAGTTTGCAGAGTTATCCATAGCATAGGAATAACAAGCTGTGTGTATCTTTGTCTTCTAAAGGGTTTTGGTAAACACATTTTATTTGTGTGGTTTTTAGTGAAGCCCAATTTGCAAGTCTTTCGGGCAAAGTTTTCTGAGATCACTCCTAACACGATTCGGAGAGCTTGTGAGATGCTAGCAGAGCCTGATTCTAACATCAGCGATGCTGTTGAAGTTCGCCAGGAGCTGGATTTACGAATTGGTAATGTGTTGCTCTCTTAAGTTCACATTTTATAGTTTTTTTCAAAATTACAGAATGACTGGGCAGCTATGGGTTCAGAATATTCTGTAACTTTGTTGTCTATTTGAAAATGTACCACACAAATTGACAATGTTATCCTCTTGTCTTTGCTTTCATCCTCTACAGGAGCATCCTTCACTCGATTCCAGACACTTCGTCTGCAGAAGATCTTCCCAGAATCCCTTGCCAATCAGCTGATCTCATACGGCAGCTGTCAGTTTCCCACTCTGGGCTTTGTGGTGGAGCGCTTCAAAGCCATTCAGGCCTTCATTCCTGAGATTTTCTACAAGATCAAAGGTAAATATTCATTCTTGCACATAAACATTAGTTGATGATGTATGGTTTCAAATGTTAAAGTGCTGTTTTAATTTTTTTTCCGTGTGTGTGTCAGTGCTTCATGAAGTTGAGGAGGACACTGTGGAGTTCAGCTGGAAGAGAAACCGTCTCTTTAATCACACAGCTTGCCTGGTGCTCTACCAGATCTGCATGGAGGTTTGTAACTGAGCTGAGGACTTTGTGTATAAATATAAATCAGTGTAAACTTGTGTGACAATGCTGTTATACAAACCAGATTCCAAAAAAGTTGGGACACTAAACAAATTGTGAATAAAGACTGAATGCAATGATGTGGAGATGGCAAATGTCAATATTTTATTCGTAATATAACATAGATGACAGATCAAAAGTTTAATCTGAGTAAATGTAACATTTTAAAGGAAAAAT